TTGCTAATGCCCGGCAAACATTTTTATCATTATATTGTCGAAACGTCACGCTAACATCTCGGCAACAGTAAATGTTTCGCCTGTGGACGATGCAGGACAACTTTTTATTTATAACGTTATTTCAACATATAAGTAACGTAGAAATCAATTTTGCATTATGACATATTCTTGTTGCAAAAACCTCACAAATGAATCGTTCCTCATGTTAATAAACATTACTGTCAGTATGTAGGTTAATAATATGTAGATATAATAGTTAAGTATACGCGTGTCGTTCGCGCATTCAGAATTATTTTCCTCGAAACCTACTGCTTGATTTAAAAATTGGTTGCCAGCCACTCTTTATTACCTTGTACAACCCCGGTAAAAGGTTTTCCTATATATTTACTATTAATTTATTCGACAATCGCGCGTCAATATTTTACTTTATTTTAGAGAAAAGGCGCAGATTATGTCGTTTTCATCAACACGTCCTCAGAATTCAACGGCAGTGACAGCGATGCTCTGTCCGAGGAAGCGATTTCTTGAGAAAAAATTTGGAAGGAAGCTTATTCTTCATCAAGTTAAGCGCGTTATATTCGTTGACACCAAGTTTAAATACAATGAGTGACAGTCGATCAGATGGATGTATATCAGTTGGACACGGGGCAATTGGACACAGTCCAATCACAAGTCGCTGTTCCAAGGGACCCTACAAATGTCTCTAATCATACGGTGCTGTGATTGGCTGTGTCCAAATGCACCGTGTCCAAGTGCACCGCTCCCGATCAGATCGCTGCTTTCGTCTCAGGTGTACGCTGAGGTATTTCTATTGTTGGTTGAAGAAACCTTCGCTAGATATCATAATTCGGGGGACATGCTGTAAAAGGTATTGTAATTATTCTGTAAAAAGAATGTATCTGTTTTTGTGCGTTTTTTCGACAATATAATGATAAAAATGTTTGCCGGGCATTAGCAAGTTGATGCGATCGAAAAAAAAACCAGGAGTATTGAAATACTAGATAGTACACCGATCGTGCCTGACGGTACTTCCACAGCAGCGCTTGAGATCGATATTTCGGCCAAATACATGATTTTTTAATATTTAATTAAAATTATCTGAATGACTCACAAATCTTTTTAATGATACTTCATAACTCTTCATACGAAATACAAACGGTACCATACCGAACCTTTGTTTAATTTACCTCCGGTTATTATTTCCGGCTAAATACATGGTCCAAAAAAGAACAATTAATTACAAGTAATAGAATGACTCACAAATCTTTTCAATTACACTTCAAAACTCTTCATACGAAATACAAACGATATAAAAGAGTAGTTTTCCAATCGGAGTTTTTTTCCGGTCAAGTACATAGAAATGCTTTTTCCAGTCAACTTATAGGCCGGTATTCATAGTCAGATCTTATATTTAAGATCAACTTAAGTATTGTCTTAAGATGTCATGAATCAATTACAGAGCCGTATTTGCATCTTAAGACATTACTTAAGACGATCTTGAAATAAGATTCGACTATGAATACCGGCCATAGTCGACTATGAAAAGTTGGAAATTAATCGGCTATTTCAAGGCAGGTCTTGGCAGACGTCAGCATTGCTAATTCGTCGTGTCACCGGAGTGGCGCGCCGTTACATGATCTTATATGTATATAGTTCTTTTCTTCCTTGGGACGCGAGTTGCTGTTTCCCTTAATTGAAAATTCTCAATCCATTTCAATTTGGTAACATTTCGGCTACACATCAGTACAGCACACATCACGGTAAGCAAATGATTCATTATCAATAACCGTGCATATTTCCACCAGAATTTTTGGGAGCGGTGCACTTGGACACGGTGCATTTGGACACAGCCAATCACAACACCGTATGATTAGAGACATTTGTAGGGTCCCTTGGAACAGCGACTTGTGATTGGACTGTGTCCAATTGCCCCTGATATACATCCGAATTTTTTGCTTATGTTCATTTGTGGCATCAATGGGCGCATTCAGTAGAAAAAGCACTCAGTGAGCAATCAACGATTATTGGTTTTTGCTATTAGATCCCTAAATCTAGACCAATTACATTGACAAATTACTCAACTGTTGTGCAACTGTTGAGTCTACTGAATGCAGCCAATAATCAATGCATCGATTACTTTGGGTGTTTACGGAAAAGCGCTCCGAGTTAGTTTTGAGTCAGCGGTATATATGCCTCTCTATAATCCAAGTATTTCATGTTTCTGACTCCTCTGCTGAAATAGAGACCGGGTTATTGAGAGACGTACATCTTGACAGCACACAGCGTAAAAATATATACAAATATATAATTAAAGTAAGTATGAAATTTATTTAAATAAAGAATAAATTGTATAAATGTGGTAATTGTATAATATTTATTAGTTTTAAAAGATTATTGTATTTATTCGTTATATTGACTTTTTCAGATGGAAGCTAATGGGTGTTTACGACAATTAGAGTTAGAGTTAGTTTCACTAGGGCCGAAAATTATGATAGGCATGACCATCTAGTACTTTTACAGTTTATAACAACTTCTTACTTCTAACTCAATGCCTTATCATAGGAACAAGCTGGAACAAAGAAATTGGGATATATATTAAATTAGTAAAGCTGGCCACACACACTTTCCGTAACAGTAATTGTAGGACATAACGTAAGAATTGACCAATCATGTTGAGAATCGTCGAATTATAAGGTCGCCATTTTTGTGAATACTCGATCGTAATTGGTCAATTCTTACGTTACGTCTTACAGTTACTGTTATGGAAAGTGTGTGTTTCCAACTTTACTAATTTAATATATATCCTAATTTATTTACAAGAATTCTATTTATACTATTCATATATGTGACGGAAGTTACAATTAAATTTACGAGTTTAAAATTACGGTTTGAAAATTATTTATTAATTAATAAATAATATTAATATTAATAATAATATTAATATTAATTAATTAATAATTCTCCAACCGTAATTTTAAACTCGTAAATTTAATTGTAACTTCCGTCACATATATAAATAGTATAAACAGAATTCTTGTAAATAAATTAGGACACATTATTTTAAATTAGGATTATATTTTACACTTCAGATTTCTCACATGATAGTTTATAATAAATATAATAAATATGATAATAAATATGATTTTAATAAAATATAAATAATCTTACACATTAAAAAAAAATATGGATATAATGGTGAGATTTTACGAAATTATTATCTGATGTTGAATGCACGTTCTTTACTTCTTGTTCCTATGATAAGGAGTAAATATATTCTTATGGTAAGGAGTAAGTTGTAAATATATTTAAATAAATATATTTACATAAATAAATATATTTACATAAATACATTTACACCTAATCTCACTCAACACTAAAGAAATATTAGAAGTTTTATCAGACATCCGCAGTTCTGGGGGTTGATTGTGTATCTCGAAACAGGAATGAAAATTACAAAAGTGAGCAAATTCACTAGGCATTGACCAATGAAGTTACAAATATTCTAGTAAATTTATTCACTTTTGTCAATTTCATTTCGTTTTGAGATACACAATCGACCCCCTCGAAGAGATCAAAACGCACTACTTATACGGAGAAGGATGATAAACTACAAAACATCTGGAAACAAATACAAAATACAGAGAACTTAGATCTTTTATTAATATTATATACATTATCAGAATTAGTTGGGAAAGAAGAAATAAATTTATAAATTTTAATACTTTCCATTCTTTGCCAATCCTTAATTTTCTGGAATACAACTTGGGCATACTCGAGGACACAGTAAGCTTAGAGTTTGTCAACATACTCTGCAGTAAATTGTTCTCTGGCTATTAGGACAATCTGCTAGCACATCGTTAGCTGGATAACTGGAACAAAAAATTAATCACCCAGATAACCAAACCTGCGCGAGCAGATTTTACGCAGAGTCTGTCAACAGTGTCTGTAGACAGAATGGCAACAGATTATACGCAGAATCTGTTCTGACGACAGATTGGTAACAGATTGCGCAGAGCTTGTCGACAGACTTTGACGACAGACTGACGGCAGATTGCGCGCAGATTCTGTTTCCTAGATAGGCTATTTAATTCTATCAAGGGCCAATCAACTTATATCAAGCACACTATTAAATGGGGCAGTTTCACAGGTTAGGCGACAGTTTCCTGAAAAATGGAGGGGATAATGTTGGTACCAAGGAAAATCTACACGATAATTTAAAGATCTGTTTTTTGTAACTGCACACTGCTGAACTAATGCAAAAGGTTAGAATGAGAAAACGTATACTTGCTTCACTTCAATTTATTGCACCAGTTCAGCAGTGCAGTTACAAAGAATAGATCTTTAAATTATAGAGAGATAATAGTGGTAGAGATTTTCTTTGATACCAACGTTATCCCTTCCACTTTTCGGGAAACTATCGCCTAACCAGTTTCACATACACACCATGTAAAACTCTGAGAGGAGTCAAGATAATTATATTGTGCAATAATTGTACACATACCCATAATTGTACCCTGACAGCACGCGACGTACTGCGTATCATCCCATTTTCGTACTCATTGTACTGTGACGTACTAAGTTGAACGCTAGAACGTCACTTATAGTATCATTCGGTTTTCTTTCGCACGCGAATGTTCTTAGATTTCACTCAGGGATATGGAAATGATACGTACGCTTTTTTATCGCGTGCATACATTCTCAGGTTTGACTGAAATGATACGTACGCATTTGTATCGCGCGCGTATTTCTCAGGTACCGACTCAAGGTACGGAAACGGTACGTATACCAACGCCATCTGATACATCATTCCGGGAGCGGTGCACTTGGACACGGTGCATTTGGACACAGCCAATCACAGCACCGTGTGATTAGAGACATTTGTAGGGTCCCTTGGAACAGCGACTTGTGATTGGACTGTGTCCAATTGCCCCGTGTCCAACTGATATACACCCCATCATTCCTGTTTCGATCTTTTTCCGGTAGCCGAGTAGCGTGGGTACCGTCCATTAATGTGGTGACGAGCAGTGACGAGGCAGATCGATTGATCGATCTAATTAATAACAAAGGTAATCCTTTTTCTTCCTTAATTTTAATTCCATAAAATATTGAATAAAGTTAAACAAGTTTTACATATAAATTACATAATATTTCTTAATATTTCGTAGAAATTTTTATACAAATATTCTGATAAAGAATTTGAGGTTATCCTAGGTTGCAAAGCCACATAGCATTTGCTTATTGGTTTTAGGTGAGAATGCCATTAGCAATAAAAGTTCCTAGTATAAGATTCTCTGCTATCCGTGGCTCCTATCGACTCCAAGTAGTTGAAAGCGTCGCTCACCGACAGCCAAGAACGCCTCGGAGGCGATGAATCGCAATCAATTAGGTTATTTGTATTTATAAAAGTCTGTTATAAATAATCTCAATAAAAGAATATATTATTCATTTGTAAAAGAATTTATATTAATAAAAACGAATTTATAATGAAATAAAAATATCCAATTAATAACCTAACCTAACCTATATATGAGCGCGCGCGCTAGCTGCACATGTGTGTGTGCGTCTATACGTGATGTACTGAACCTTCCCGTTTTCATTCCGTCCTGAGACTGCCGACATCGCTGCGAACGTTTGCACGACATTCGCAGCGAAATTCTATAGTAGCTGCTACCCCATAGGGACGTACTCAAGAGGTCAATTGTGTATCTTAAAACGGAGTGAAAATGACAAAAGTGAGCAAATTTACTAGAATTTTTGTAACTTCATTGGTCAATGCCTAGTGAATTTACTCACTTTTGTAATTTTTACTCCATTTCGAGATACACAATCGACCCCCAGAACGTACTCAGTCGATCGCAGTACATATGAGAACATTCAGAGATAATCGCAATATACGCATTGCGATCTACTCAGAAAGTCTTCAGAACATCCTCGTGCTGTAAAGGTATACACAATAAAAAACAATTTTTACTTTTTAAAATTGCATTACACATTTTTTATAAAAATGCAACAATAATAAAGAAATAACGAGTACAAGTATAGAATAGTACAACGGTTAAATGGCCATTTAGGCCAAAAGGCGTACATATGCCATCTCTGGTAAAAATTGTTCTCATATTATTATTTTTTTAAATGTCATTATGTCATTAAATCTGAACGATTTGGGAGCGGTGCACTTGGACACGGTGCATTTGGACACAGCCAATCACAGCACCGTGTGATTAGAGACAATTGTAGAGTCCCTTGGAACAGCGACTTGTGATTGGACTGTGTCCAATTGCCCCGTGTCCAACTGATATATACCCGGACGATTTAACCATTATGCAATAAGTACTGAAGGCAGCAGCACCGAATAAAATATTAGTATCGCCATGTAAATAACTTTTACAGAATTTTTGTGATGATTTATTTGAAAATACATCATGCTTCGATTTTAATAAAACTTAATATTAGGTGTACAACTTTGCTTCCGCTGTTTTTTTTCCGAAATTCGAGGCTTTATTATAAAAAACTGGTTATACATTTATGACTCAAAGTATTGTCCATCGCTGGCCACTACTTTCTCCCATCTTTTGGGCGACGTACGAATCCTTCGTCGAAAAAACTGGTCATCTTTTGAAACGATCCACGAATCGATCCAATTTTTTACTTCTTCATAAGACCGGAAGTGCTGGTCAGCCAGGCCGTGTGCCATTGATCGAAACAAGTGATAGAGGGAGCAACGTCTGGAGAATACGGCGGGTGGAGTAGGACTTCCCATTTCAACGTTTCCAAGTATGTCTTGACGACTTTCGCAACATGGGGTCGAGCATTGTCATGTTACAAAATCACTTTATCGTGTCTCTCGTTGTATTGCGGCCGTTTGTCTTTCAATGCTCGGCTCAAACGCACCAATTGCATTCGACACCGATCGCCTGTGATTGT